GGCAGGCTATGTGGTAACAAGGCCTGCCATTACACACCCCCTGTTGTTAGTCACTAACTGTCCCCATTGGGCTCTATTCTATCGTTACTCCCTATCCTACCCAACTCTCTATTTTCTGCATATAAACTGACATTCTCCCAGCCACCATCAATTCTGAGGAAGGGTCACTGAACCCAAAACATTCACTCTGTTTTTTCCTTCACAGATGCTGCCAGACCTGCTGAGCTTTTCCAGCAAATTTCTTTTTGTTCCTGTCTATACCTAGAATCATTGCAAAGCATAATGACTTTATCAAAGCACACAAAATTCCTCAATTTATCTTACTTTCATAATCCAGGTTAATGAAAAACATGGACCAGATTCCTGTATTTAACACAAATAGATTCTAATGACATGGAAACATTTATGAATTGCTGATATATCACTCCACTAATTAAAACTCTTACTTACTGATAAAACGATCCCTCCACACATATAGGGAAAGATAAAAACATCAATATTTTGGTGGCAGGCAAAATTGGAAAGGCAGTTTAATGGCCTTGTCTATGCTGTTTGCTGAGGTGATCCATTTGCATGACAGAGCTTGCTGTTCAATGCTCCCTCTCCTCCAGGTACTTCTCACTTCCTTACAAAAGACAAACAGCAACTGATTCACAAATTGTAAAGTCCCTTGACTATTAGTTAAAAGCTACAGCTTACTGTAACTGGTGAAGGAGAATAGACTGGCTTTCATCAGGCATGGGGTATCTTCTACTGCAGAGATAGAGAGACACTGCCTCATTTTGTGGAGATCTGAAGGCTTCTGGCCATATCATTCAGACCCACAAGCTGTTCAACCAACTGGGAGCAGATCATATCACAGCTGTCAAGGAATAAGGCCTTTGTCATCAAAAACTGGTCACCAGACCATAGACCAGCTACCTGTTACCAGCTGAATCTCACTTTGTATAGACCCCCTAGTGCCAGTCCATCTGCAGAAATCTTCCTGCATTGCTGGAACAAACAGCAGTAATCCCTTCCCAATCAGAAAATAATATATAAAGATAAGGTCTTTGTGACAGCGATTCATTTCCAAGTCAGGATGATGATTGACTTTGAGGGGAACTTGCAGGAGTTGGTGTTTCCATCTATCTGCTACCCTTATACTTCTAGATGATGGAGTTTGAGCATTTGGAAGGTGATGTGTAAGGAGACTTTTTGAATTTCTGCAGTGCATCTTTTGGATGATACATACTGCTGCTACTGTGCATGATGTTATGGTGATGCCAATCAAATGGCTTTGTCCTGGGTTGCATCAAATTACTTGAGTGTTGTTGCAGCTATATTTTAAGGCAAATATTGCATCACATTCCTGAGTTATTCCTTGTAGATGGTGGATAGGCTTTGTTAAAGTGAGGAAGTGAGTTACTCGCTGCAGTATTCTTAGCTTCTAACCTGTTGCTGTAGACATTATATTTATAGAAAATAGAACAGTGCAGCACAGTACAGGCCCCTTGGCCCACGATGTTGTGCCGACCTATTATCCTACTGTAAGATCAAACTACCCTGTATACACTACATTTTACTATCGTCCATGTGCCTATCCAAGAGTGGCAGTCTAGTTTGGTTTCTGTCTTTGTTAGCCTCCCAGGATGTTGATAGTGGGGGTTTCAGTGATGGCAAAACCATTGAATGTTAAGGGGCAATCGTTAGATTGTCTTTATTGAAGACGGTCATTGCCTGGCATTTTTATGGCGTGAATATTACTTGTCACATGTCAGTCCAAGCCTGGATATTGTCTGGATCTTGTTGCTTTTGAACATGGACTGTTTCAGTATCTGAGGAGGTGCTGAACATTGTGTAGCCATCAGACAATATCCCCACTTCTGACCTTATGATGGAGGGAAAGTTATTGATAAAAGAGCTGAAGATGATTGGGCTGAGGACACTACCCTGAGGAACTCCGGCAGAGATGTCCTGGAGCTGAGATTGATGACCTTCAACAACCACGACCATCTTCCTTTCCAAAGACTCCAACCAGGGGAGAGTTTGCCCTCTGATACCCATTGATTCCAGTTTTGCTCGTGCTCCTTGATGCCAGACTTGGTCAAATGTGGCCCTGATGTCAAGGGTTGTCAAATATCTCATAACAGTTTCTAAACTCATTGCTTTGTGAGTGTTAGCATTCTATTATGTTATAGAGACCACCTAAGCGTCAGACCAAGTTAAATTTCTTTAAGAATAGGAAAGGTAAGTATACAATAATCCCAATTTCTGAATACTGATAAGATATTAAGTGTCTGTTCCTTTAATTACAGCTCATCCAGACAATTCATGCTGTGGACAAAGATGAAAGTGCAAATGGGCCAAGGATGACCTTTAGCATAGCTCCGAATCCAAACTTCACATTAACGCAGAGCACAGGTAAGCTGCTGAACTTTAGGTCTGCTTCAAAGAACAGCTTTCATCTCTTAAAAGTGTCCTTAAGATAGTAAAACACGCCACAAATAATAAAGAGCAATCATCAAACAAAACTTCAAAAGAGGCCACAAAAGGAGATTTAAGGCTATTGTTCAAAGGCTCCCGCAGAGAAGCTGGTTTTAAGGACTGTTTGTGGTGCAATAGTAACGTCCCTACCTCTGGGCAGAAGGTCTATGTTTAAGGATTACCCATCCCAGATGAATATCATGACATGTCTGCACAGGTTGTTTATAAATAAGTTAGGGAACACGTTCCAAACACCTTCCAAATCATTTCCATCAAAAAGGACAAGGGCAGCAGATACATAGAACCTGCAAGTTCCCCTCCAAGCCACTCACCATCCTGACTTGGAAATATATCACCGTTCCTTCACTGTCTCCTTCCTTCTCAAAGGCAGCTAGGGATGGGCAATGAATACTGGCAGAGACACCCACAGCCTCTAAGTGAATAAAAGATAAAGGATGAAGGAGAGATTTAAGGCAATTTCAATACTTAGGGCTTGGGCAGCTAAAGGCAAGGCAGCCAGTAGTGGATCAATTACCCCTATCCCCAATGCCTTTACTCCCTTCCCACTGCATTTACCCCTCTCCCAAAGCCTTTACTGCTCTCCCCATTGCATTTACCCCTCTCCCAAAGCCTTTACTGCTCTCCCCACAGCCTTTACCCCTCTCCACACTACCTTTACCCCTCTCCACACTGTCTTTACCCCCTCCCAAAGCCTTTACTGCTCTCCACACTGCCCTTACCCCTCTCCACACTGCCTTTACCCCTCTCTACACTGTCTTTACCCCTCTCCACACTGCCTTTACCCCCTTCCCACTGCCTTTACTCCCTCCCCACTGCTAAAACACCTCTCCACACAACCTTTACCCCTCTTCCATAGCCTTTGCTCCTCTCCTGACTCCATTTAACCCTCTCCATACTGCCTTTATCCCTCTCCACATTGCTTTTACACCCTCCACACTGCCATTACTGCTCTCCCCTCAGTCTTTACTACTCCTCCCGGTCCACAGCCCTTACCCCTCTCCCCACAGCCTTTACCCCCTTCCCACTGCCTTTACCTCTTCCACACTGCCTTTACCCCTCTCCACACA